ATGTGGCTTCTCAAGCCCCACCTCTCCTGTGCCCTGTGCAGCCATCTCATCCATTTTACAATGCATTTGCAATGGGTCTGAATTCTCAAAATCTTCCCTCTCAAGCAGAAGTCTAGAAAGCACCCTTAGCTCCTATCTCTCTGCTTCTTTTTGATTCTACTTCTGATAGTTACCTTTTAGCCATTTTATGCATTTCATCCCTGTTGGCACTGCCCTGGAGCAGAATTCATCACCTCTAGCATGTGTTCTGGTAGTATGTTCCCAAATACTCTCCCTGTTCCTAGGTTCTTTTCCCTCTGGTTAAACCTCTCCACTGCTGTCAGTGTCTCAGGTCTAATGTGATCGTGGCTTTATCTTGTTTAAACCATTGAGGATCCTGTTGCCCATCAGATAGAGACCAAATTTCTTGGTATACTGAGGCTTTAATAACCTGCTCCAGGTTCACTTCCAGTCTCTTCTTAATCCTTCCTCACTTTATAGTCTAGCCGTAACGGATTTTCACTGTCAATTCAATATACTATGCCACGCTTTTTAAATGCTGCCTCTTTTTCCTAGAAAGTTATCTACTTTCTCCACCTGCAAATTTCCTTTTATTATCTGATGTTCAACTTAGTGGTACCACTTGTCTTTAGTTTTTCTGGAACTTCCAGTCTATTTCATTACCCAAAAGAACAACTACTTGCTCCTGTCTTTATCATCTCTTAGCACTTTGTATGTTCCCCCATTATAGTCATTGACACATTACTTTGAGTTACTGGTTATGTGCTGTGCCTTCCATTGTACTACCAGTTACTCCAGAGCAGAGGCTACACCTTTGTCTGCAGCACTTCCTTAGCAAATCCATCCATTCATTTATTAAGCATCTGTTGTGTGGTGATGGGTAAGACTGGTGTGAACAAGTCAGATATGGTCCCTATCATCTAATCTAGAACTTTGGTTCTAGAAGTGGAAATGAACAGGCCTGCAGAGGATGATGGTGGCTCGAACTAGATTGATATTGGTGGATATGAGATGTTCAGGAAGTAAAATTGACAGAAATTCCTTCTGGATTCAGTGTGGAGAATGAGTAAGAGCAAAGACTCAATGATGACCACTAGCTGACTGGCTTATGAACTGAGTGGGTCTTAGGCTGTATTAATAGAAATTAGGGAATAAAACTGGTAAAGGATCAACTCCTTGTTCTCTGTGATTCTTAGAACTAGAGGAATGGGTTTATTTGTGATATATAGACAAACTTTACTGTGTTCAGAATTAACATACCTGTTCAGCAATATGTGTAAATTACTGGCTTTAGTAGAAATATTAGCATGCATATATATATATATGAACACTTGGTAAGACCACATCATGTTGTTCTAAAGAGCTGAAGATAGAAATATCATTAATAAGATTATTTATTAAATATATTTAAATAATGTTCTCTTAAATACAATGAAATATACAGTCATGTCACTTAATGATGGGGATACGTTCTGAGAAATTAGTCATTAGACAATTTTATCGTGTGCAAACACCATAGAGTGTACTTACGCAAACCTAGATGGTACAGCCTACTACACACCTAGGCTGTATGCTACAGCCTACTGCTCCTAGGCTACTAACCTACACAGCATGTTACTGTACTGAATACTGTAGGCAATTGTAATAAAATGGCTAAATATTTGTGTGTCTGAACGTACCTCGACATAGCAAAGGTAATGCATTGCACTACAACAGTAGGATGGGCATGATGTCATTAGGCAATAGGAATTTTTTCAGTTACATTATAATCTTATGAGACCACTGTCATATATGAGGTCTGTCAATGACCAAAATGTTATGCAGTGCATGATTGTACATAAAGAAAACTTTGTAAACATGTCATGAGAGTTATTTCAGTTCTTTTTCATAAGCATTATAAAGAAATTTTATTGTTCATTACTTTTTTAACCCAAGTTAGTAGTCCTTCACTGTATGTTTCTATTCCTTCCACAAATTAAATATTTTATTCTGTTGGTATCAGATTTAACTACCAAGTGTTGGGAGTAAATTATTCAAATTTTACATAAAAATAAGGTTTTGCTGACTTGATGAAATTTTAGGATTTTTTTTATTTTAGGAAAATAGTAAAAGTAGAAAAATATTTAGTTAGAATTCAGCTGTCTGTGTCTGATAATATTAAAAGTAGATTTTCAGGACTTGGTAAAATCTACGTTGCAGCCATAATATAAAGGGAAACATGTAGAGAATTTGACATTAAAATGTATCCAGTGCTACTAAAAACATAATATGAGCCTTCTATAAAAGGCCTTTTAGCAAAATCTAAATATAAACTCAGAGACTTACCATCAGATGAAACTTTTACAATAACGGTACAGTTTCATTAGAGGTGATAGTAGTGAAAATGTAACAATTTAATATTAGGAAGTAATATATTATCGGTAGATTATCTACTTAAATTTATGACACTATAGGTAAACATATGCTAATTTATTGTAAATTTTTTAAACAGTGACATTTTGTGATATTTATAAGAGTATGTAATCTCAAATTGAGTGTAAAAAATTTACACATACTCTAATGGTAACTATTTTAGATTTAGAATTGGATTTTATGTATTATAAAGTTTCAAATTCCATCAAACCTAGCTTGATTGGTGAAGATCATTTTGCTGCTTCAAGGCTTTATTTACAGAACCCAAATATTCAAAGATCAAACTTACTGAACTATGAATTTATCATTTTCATGAGGTTAATATTTTATGTGACTAATATAGTAATTTTTATGCACCCTAATGACATAGGAACCAGATTTCTGCTGTCTAAAACATGGCTCTGCCTTGAGTAAAAATACTTAACTTCTGTGTGCCTTGATGATCTTATATGTAAAATGGAATTATAGTAATTCTGCTTATAGTTTTGTGACAAGAATTAAATGAGTTAATACATATATACAATATATGGGACATATAATAATTAAATAAATGGTAATTAATTAAAATAATTGTATAATATGATCTATCAATCTA